AAACAAACAGAAAGAAAGAAAGAAAGAAAGAAAGAAAGAAAGAAAGAAAGAAAGAAAGAAAGAAAGAAAGAAAGAAAGAAAGAAAGAAAGAAAGAAAGGCATTGCTTTCCCCCCCGCAAAGACAAATACTGCAGGCGGGATGGTCCCATAGAGAAGACGATGCTCACTCCCATCAGAGTACATGAGTGCCCTCTAATGGCCATTGTTACTTATAGTTCCTTCCCTTTTGTAAACTTTGCTTTTTAACTCCCTTCCCCAGACGCTTCTCTAAGTCGACTCTGCTTCTCATCCCCTTGTTTGGGACTCATTACATCATCTTCAACTTCCTGCCCGAATACAGCCACGTGGGAGCCCGTCTCTACTTGGAGCTGTGCATTGGATCGTTTCAGGTGAAATAGGGCACCAAGGTGTGCTGTGCAGGATAACTAAGGATGCCACTTGCAATATTATTATTATTATTATTATTATTATTATTATTATTATTATTATTATTATTATTATTATTATTATTATTATTATTATTGTTGTTTTGTTGTTGTTATTTAAAAAAAGAAAAGAGAGGGTGAGCTTTGTCAGCCCTGCAAGGCATAAGTTGTCCTCGATGTACGGCCACAATTAAACCAAAACCTCCATTGCCAAGCAAGACAGTTGCTAAGTGAGTTTTACCCCAGTTTACAACCTTTCTTGCCACCGTTGTAAAGTGAATCGCGGCAGGGATAGAGTTAGCAACCCAGTTGTTAACCAAAATTTTCTGTTGTTAAGCAAGGCAGTTTTCTTAAGTGAGCTTGGCTCCAATTTTACAGCCTTCTTTGCCATAGTTGAAAGTGAATCACTGAATCGTCAGGTCACTAAGTGAATCATGTGGTCTCTAAGCAACTCTGGGCTCCCCAGTTAAATTTGCTTCACAGATGCTGGCTGCTGGGATGGTTACAAGCGGAGATTGCATGACAGAGCAAATTTAATAAACACGGGCCAGGTGCTAATCATAAATCACTTATTTCACAGCCGTCATAACTCTGAACCATTGTTAAACCAAGGGTCATAAGTCAAGGACTACCAGTAACTTCCTGACTCATCTGTATGATTCTATACTATATGGATAAATATCATTGCTGAAAAGAAGGACCAGAAATATTCACTTGTGTTGCGTTATAGATAGTCCTTGACTTACAACCATTTATTTAGTGAGCGCTTGAAGTTACAAATGGCCCTGAAAAAAAAAGTGACTTAGCACTGTTTATCACACTTACTACCGCTTATGCAGCATCCCCATGGTCCCATGATCAAAACTTAGGCGCATGGCAATTGATTCATATTTATGACGGTTTGCAGCATCCCAGAGTCACATGATCCCCTTTTGCGACCTACTGACAAGCAAAGTCAAGCCCAGATTTGCTTAACAACTGTGTAATGAACTGAACAACTGCAGTGACCCACTTAACAACTGTGGCAAGAAAGGTCGTAAAATGGGGCGAAATTCACTTTCTGTCTCGCTTAGTGATGGAAATGTGGGGCTCCATTGTGGTCATAAGTCAAGGAACACCTGTATGTCCATACACATGGAGAGCGAGAGCGACTTAACCTCTGTGTTTTTCCTCTTTAGGGCTTTGCCGTTGCCTTTTTGTACTGTTTTCTGAATCAAGAGGTAAGGAGCTTAATCCAGATCTCTGTTGGTTGCAAAGGAGGCGGCCATTATTTCTTTCTCCCTCAGGTCAACACAGGCCTTAGTGAATCTGTCACTCTCTGGAGAGGTCAAGGCCTGGAGGAACGTGGAGAGTTCAGGGTGAATTAAATTGCCTTTAATGGTTTTTAAATGGTCTTTATTCAAAACAGAATTAAAAAAAGAAGTGTTTCTCAGTCACAACTTTAAGATGTGTGGACTTCAGTTCCCAGAATCCCTCAGCCAGCCATGCTGTGAGTTGAAATCCAGGCATCTGTGTGGGGAATTCTGGGAGTTGAAGTCCACATGTGTTGAAGATGTGTGGACTTCAGTTCCCAGAATCCCTCAGCCAGCCATGCTGTGAGTTGAAGTCCAGGCATCTGCCTGGGGAATTCTGGGAATTGAAGTCCACATATGTTGACTGGAGAATTCTGGGAGTTGAAGACTAATACGCTGGCTGGGGAATTCTGGGGAGTCAAAGTCCAGATACGCTGATTGGGGAATTCTGGGAGTTGGTCCACATACTGGGGGATTCTGGGAGTTGAAGTCCACATATTGGGGAATTCTGGGAGTTGAAGTCCAGTATGCTGGCTAGGGAATTCTGGGAGTTGAAGTCCACACATCTTAAACTTGCCAAGGCTGAGAAATATTCTCCCACTGTTTTGAGTGCCTCTGTCCTGAACTTGAGATGGATGAGGCAAATTTTGGTAGCTCTCAAACGGATGTCGTCATGCAGAAAATCTATTTATGTGGTTGCTAGGAGTCGAAAATGACTTCTCAACCTATAATGAATCAATCAATCAATCTCAGGAAGACCAAAAACACAGTGGGAGAGGTTTAAGGAAACACAGATCCATGGGGGGCTGGAGGGGGGGGAATATATATTATAAAGTCCTCCGTTAGACTAGGCTGGAGTGAATTGGGTGGCATATAAATAATACAGGAGGCCCTCAAATTATGCCCACAACTCACCCCAAAATTTATGATGTTTATTGAGTTTTGCCCCATTTTACGACCATTCTTGCCACAGTTATTAAGTAAATCACTGCAGTTTTTAAATTAGTAACTCGGTCATTAAGTGAATCTGGCTCCCCCATTGCTGGGATACCTGAGATACTGCAACCGTCATAAATATGAGTCAGTTGCCAAGTGTCCAAATTCTGATCAGGTGACAATGGGGATGCTGCAACGGTCGTAAGTGTGAAAAATGGTCTTAAGTCGCTTTTTTCAGTACTGGTCACTAAACGAACTGTTGTAAGTCGAGGACTACCTGTATTTCATTATTAACTTTGGTACCTATTTCTAGTTATAGGTAGTCCTCGACTTACAACCATTCTTTTAGTGACCAGCACTGGAAAAAAAAGATAGCTATGAGTGGTCCTCACACTTATGACCAATCCTCACACTTGTGATCACCACACCATTCTCCACATACATGATCAAAATTCAGTTGCTTGACAACTTGTATGTTTTTATATCAATTTCAGTGTCCCGGGGTCGTGTGATCCCCTTTTGCGACCTGACAAAAAGAGCCAATAGGGAAGCCAGATTCACTTAACAACCGTGTGACTAACGTAACAACTGCGATGTCTCACTTAACAATTCTGGCCAGAAAGGCCGTAAAATGGGGCAAAACACACTTAACAACGGTCTCGCTTAACAATAGAAATTTTGGGCTCAGTGGTGGTCATAAGTCAAGGACTACCTTATAAAGCTAATCAATAATGATTTTTCCAGTAATGGCGCCTACTATTGTTTTCAAGGTACAAGCAGAAGTATGCCGGAAATGGCGAGGCAACAATTATGAATTTATGATGCCTATTAGGAGGAGGAAGACCAAATGGACGATGCCCTCCGCTTCCGGAATCAAAGTGACAAACCTGATGTTTAAGAATTAATTGAAATCAGCGTTTTTCAACCTTGACCGCTTGAAGATAGGTGGACTTCAATTCCCAGAATTCCTCAGCCAGCAAGACTGGCTGAGGAATTCTGGGAGTTGAAGTCCACAGATGGTGGCAGGGGAATTCTGGGAGTTGAAGTCCATGCATGCCAGAAGGGAAATTCTGGGAGTTGAAGTCTATGCATGCCAGTTGAGGAATTCTGGGAATTGAAGTCCACAGATGATAGCTGAGGAATTCTGGGAGTTGAAGTCCATGCATTCCAGAAAGGGAATTCTGGGATCTGAAGTGCACAGATGGTGGCAGGGGGATTCTGGGAGCTGAACTCCATGCATCTTCAAGCGGCTAACGTTGATCAACACCGAACATGTGAATAGCGAAAGTACAAATCTCCACCCAGGTTCAACTCCGAGCTTGGAGATCCATCACCATTTCTTCAACCTTTCATCCACAACAGAATCACCTCATCCCATTTTTTGATGTTAAGCGATATGTTAAATATTGTGTAAGGGATATATTGTATAAGTGACTTATAATTGGTCCTCGCACTTAAGACCGTCGCAACATTCCCAACGGTCACGTGATTAAAGTTCGGGCACTGGACAACCAGGCGATTGATGGCGGACGCAGGGTGCCTGGGGATGATGGGATGAAAAGCCCTTTGCAATTTTTCCAGCCAAGTCTATGCGGGAAGCCAGATTCATTTAATGACCGTGTGACTCACTTAACAGCTAGAATGATTCGGGTAACATCTGTGGTGAAAAAAAAGATCGTTTAAAAAAAAGGGTATGGCTCACTTAACAACCTCCTTGCTCAGTCATGGAGATTCTGGTGCTAATTGTGTTCATAATTAGAGAACTATCTGTAATGAAAAGCTCGGCATTCAGCGTTAAAAGTTTGAAATGTTCTCTGCCTTACTGTAGCTGCCAGGAGGCAGGTTCTCCTTGACTTATGACCACAACTGCGCCCTAAATTTCTGCTGCTAAGCAAGCCAATGGCTAAGTGAGTTTTGCCCTGTTTTAAAACCTTCCTTTCCTCAGCTGTTAAGTGAATTGCTGCAATCAAGATAGTAACACGGCGTCAAGGCTTGAATCTCTAGCCACATCTTTCAGAGTAAAAGAAATTGATTTATTAGGAGTGACCATGTCGGCGTTAGCTGGGTGCAGCCGACACTAAAATACATCATTCATTTCCCCCTTGACCCTGGTTCATTTTCCCCTTACCCCCTGGATGTATATTCTCTAATGGGACACATCCATAGCCAAGAGTCATCAGTCATGCTCTCCAGTAATAATCTTGAGCGCCAACAGCTTCAGCTGCCTAGCAATTATCTAAAGCATTTAAGGAATGTACTTCTTTCCCCCACTCCCTTTTTGCTGGCAACTAAAAAGACCAAAGAAGTACTGTATTTTTTAGTTGACACATGGTTGTTGAGTGAATCTGGCTTGAAGGAAGGTCACAAAAGAGGATCAAGTGACACACACACACACACATACACCGGGATACCAGCGCCCCCATTTTGACTGCGGGGATGCCGCAACATTGTGAAAAACGAACTTTTTAAAGTGCCGTTGTAACTTCGAACGGTCACTAAACAAACGGTTGTAAGTCGAGGGTTATCGATACGCTTTGCTCAACCCTCTAAAAAAATTGTAGCCTTGGTGATATGCGTAGTGGACAATCTGGTTGTGTTCGGACTGTTTTGGCGTTGTGTTTTAACCGCGTGGAGACGCTCACCGCTGCCTTGTTAAATATTTCTTACCTGTCCGCACCCAAACAATCCTTAGTGAACTCAGTGGTTGCGTAATTGCTTTCCATGGGTCCCAGCTGTCTACTGTTGCTCTCTACAGGTACTTTGGTAAAACATCGTCGCCTTGACGCATCTCGCAAACCGCCATTGCATTAAGAATTGCTTCTGTGTACTCGTGTTTCAACCATTGAAGACTGTGTTACTTTTGGGATTGCTAAATGCTACAAAATGCACAAAAACCTGTGGCATCAAAAATAGTTCTACATGCCAGCTTAGGAGCATGTAAATCCCTGGTTGGGGATTTCTGGGAGTCCACAAATCTTAAGAAGTTACCAAGTTTGGAGACCTTTGGTTTTAATGGAAATGATCAAATATAAGGACACCATTTCAGGCACAAGCAGGTTATAAAAAAAAAGTATGAAATGGCTGACTATTACCTTTCTCTATAGGTAGTCCTCAACTTACGATCGTCATTGACAATCTCGGTCGTAAATCGTGAAAGTCGTAAAGCAAATCATCAGGCAATCGACCCATCTTTTTTTGCGGTGGTTGTTCAATGATTGCAGCGATGATAAGGCAAGCATCATGATTGTTCAGTAAACGGCAAGGTCGTTGAGCGAACCGATCGTTTGCTATGGGCAGTTTCGCTGGAATCCAGAAGTACGCATCTCTTTTGGGCCAAACTGTCATAAATTGTGGTCATGTGACTGCAGGACGTAAATGTAGGCCAGTTGCAAGGGCCATATGACCGGTCAGGGAGGTGGATATTGGAAATTTGTAACCGGGTCATAAGTACCTTTCCGTCATAACTTTGAAGGTTCACTAAGTGACAGATCGTAAGTCAAGGACAATCTGTTTTTCATTAGGATGGACCCTAGGGGGCCATTTAATGTGAAACAAGGTGAACAAAAGATGGTCAACTTAGATGGTCTCCTTTGTAGCTTAGATATTGTCAATCCTGGCTGCCCCGGAGACAGATGGTGTAACAATCTGAAATCATGGGTCCCATAAATATATATTTCAGGACAAAAAGAGGTCATACACACCATAACATGACTTCCATTCTTCTTGTCTCCTGCCTTCTGCAAAGCTTTCCTGGAAGGTTACTGGGACCTGGATGCCAGGTGTAGGTTGAGAATCGGCATGGACAAGATTTGGGGCAACACGAGACATGGATGGAAAAGAATATTTGTAGCTCAGGGTTGAATTGTGGAGTCCCTGGTGTTCTCCAAGGTTGTTGGTTGTTTTCATGCAGATGTTTCATGACCCCACTAGGGCACATTGTCAGTGCTACAAGAGAGTGGGTTGTGCAGAGGGGAGGAGGAGGAGGAAAGCAGGAAGAAGGCAATGACTGTGGGTCCTTGGTGCTATTTGAGCTTGGTGGTTATATTGTGGATGTTTTATCACCCAACTAGGTAATATGATCAATAGGAGGAGGAGGAGTGGGAGGGAGACAACTGTAAGGTCCTTGGTGCTCTTTGAATTTGGTTGTTTTCTTGGTAGTGGAGGAGGAGGAGGAGGAGGAGGAGGAGGAGGAGGAGGAGGAGGAGGAGGAGGAGGAGGAGGAGGAGGAGGAGGAAGAAGAAGAAGAAGAGGAAGAAGAAGAAGAAGAAGAAGAAGAAGAGGAGGAGGAGGAGGAAGATGAAGGAGGAGAAGAAGAAGAAGTGGAAGAAAAAGGAGTAGGAAGAGGAAGAGAAGGGAAGAAAAAAGAGAAGGAAGAAAGAGGAGGAGGAGGAGGAGGAGGAAGAAGATGATGAAGAAGAAGAGGAAGAAGAAGAAGAAGAAGAAGAAGAAGAAGAAGAAGAAGAAGAAGAAGAAGAAGAAGAAGAAGAAGAAGAAGAAGAAGAAGAAGAAGAAGAAGAAGAAGAAGAAGAAGAAGAAGAAGAAGAAGAAGAAGAAGAAGAAGAAGAAGAAGAAGAAGAATTGTGGTGTCCTCAGTGTTGTCTGAGCTTGGTTGTTTACTTATAGAGATTTCGTGACCCAACTAGGTAACATCATCAGTGCTAGGAGCTACAAAACCCCTTCCTTCTTATAACTGATGATATTACCTAGCTGGGTCATGAAATGTCTGCAAAAAACCAACCAAGCTCAGGCAGCACCAAGGACCTTACAATTAGAGCTATGGTCTATTTAAATTCTGCTTCATTGTGATGAATTTGGGGGCTTAGGATGGGCCAAAAAACATATGTAGAAATGAATGAAGTCAAGAAGCTCTCATTGTTTGTGAGCATATTGCTTTGAAATGAATAAATTTCCCCCAATTACGATCACCCTGTGTGGTTTCTCACTTATTAAAAGCGGAATAACCAACTCTTAGTGTGAAGAAGCAAGTGGTGTATCTTCTTAACGTCTGGTCTGATGGGTTGCAATCTCAAAGTTGTTATGGAAACTTCATCCTGTAATGTCCTCTGGAGAATTCCTGTTTGTTTACAGAGATGATGTGGTCACTAATCACAACTCAAAAGGTGGAAAATTGGCGTTTATGGATGCCTGGAAGACCACAGTGTAAATTGGGCTGGCAGAAAATGTTAGATTGATCATATCTTGAAGGAAAAAAATAATGGAAGTTTTTCTGGCTCTTGTTTAATGCAGCTTTGAAGTAGAAGAAACAAGAATTAATTCAGGGAACTTGTCAGGTTAAATCTATGCCCTCCAGCAATTAATTGAGTTTTCAGTCCTGCAAAGAAATTACCCAACTTTAATATGATTATTTTTTCCATGCTGTTGTGTTAGAACTAACAGCTTGACAAGGTCCAAATTGTTATAAACCCATCTGAACGTAGAGAAATGCCCAGCACAGCTGGGTACCAGTTTGCCTGTAAAATGAGACACAATTTAACTTGTGTGTTTCAAGTAGCATAGCATTGTATTCTGGGCAATCACGTGAAGTATTAGTACCACTTTATAAAACCTGAGTAAGGCCACACCTCGAATACTGTATCCAGTTTTGGTCACTGCAAAGTTGAGAATTTGGAAAAAGTGTAGAGAATAGCAATTAAGATGATTAAGGGCCTGGAGACAAAAAAAGTGTATGAGGAATGGTTGCAGGATTTGGGTTATGCCTAGTTTAATGAAGAGAAGGACTAGGGGTGACATGATAGCAGTCTTCCAATATCTCAGGGGCTGCCCCAAAGAAGAGGGAGTCAAGCTATTTTCCAAAGCACCTGAGGACAGGACAAGCAACAACAGGTGGAAACTAATCAAGGAGAGAAGCAACTTAGAACTAAGGAGAAAATTCCTGACAGTTAGAACAATTAATCCGTGGAACAATTTGCCTCCAGAAGTTGTGGAAGCTCCAACACCAGAGGTCTTCAAGAAGAAGTTGGACAGCCATTTGTCTGGAAT